TGTGTGTGTGTGTGTGTGTGTGTGTGTGTGTGTGCGTGTGTGTATGTGTTTAGGAATGAAACCAATATCCGGCATGAGAAAAAGACTTAGGGTTGGTTACTTTCAGAGACTCAGTTTGTTTCCCACTAATTGCAAGCCTAAGAGGCCTGCTACACCTTACTGGCACTGCTGGTCTGTGTCCCTGACTAGCCACACTGTTGCCGAGAGATCTTCAACCAAGCCCTTCTCTGGATCACCAACGCCCACAAGCTGCCTGGACGCCGTGGAGCCATGCCCAGAGGCCACGGAAGAGCCCCAGCTCCTGCCCCTTCTTTCCTTAGCTGCGGAGGATTCGGGCTGTCATAGCCCGATAGAATTGTCTCAAGAGAGCCCCTGAGCCAGGCTACGTGTTGTGCCGCCTTACCAAGGCCTGGCTGGGTTTGGGTTTCAAGTTAAAGGAAAATTCTTTAGGTTTGTTAGATTTTCCTGCAAAGTAAAAAATCAAACCAACAAAACCGCTTCAAATGTTTACCTTGGCAGGCTGAAGATGTGGACCACGGGTTACCCAGTTCTAGGATAGCTGAATTCGACTTGGGGTGTAGCCCCAAATATTCTCGTCTCCAATAGCTCCCACGCTCCTATATTCTGGGTTTTTCCTCTTTTTCCTAGTGGAAGTGCCTCAAAAGTTTTCCATAACCAAGGCTAGGGTGTGAAGGGTAGTACTCGGAGCGCGGGGTGTGGTGTGAGGGGTGATCTGCCCAGGAGCTGTTTTAGAGGGTCGCCTGCCTGCGAATAGGCTGCTGAAGCCTTTGGTCCAAGAAAGGGGACTTGAGCCCTCTGAAAAGGAGGCCTTCCCCACCCACTCTTCCCTTATCACCACCCCCAAACAGAATAGTTTCTATCTCTTTTTAAAAAACTCGTAGTTTTAAAAAAAAAATCCACAGAGGCTAGGTTGGAAAGAATATACAACCAAACCCACAAGTCTAACCAGGGCAGTGAAGCGAAGTTTGTTCCTGAGACGGCAGGAATTCCTATTGCTGGCTACATCTCAGCTCAACCAAGGATCTCCCGATTTCCCGGACTGAGTTTCCAAAAAGCACTGTGCTGGGGCCTGCCAGCAAGAACCTCTCCAGAGTGCATTTCTGGGGCCACCGCTGTCTCTCGAACTTTCTAAAGCCACTCCAGATCCACTGTACTGTCTCGTGGGTTCCCTTCTGTTTCTAACCCAAGGGCTCCCCGAAATCTCCAGTTGCCCTCACTCTTTCCCCCCAAACAGAGGTGGGATTTTTATTTATATTTAAGTTCGCAAAATTGAAATCTTTATCCCGCAAGCGACCGTGGGTACTTAATTAAATTCTAATTAGGACACTATCAATATCCTATTTAGCCGCGTAGCTTTTGTGCGCCGCGGTCCCTTTCAGCGCCGTAAATAGGGTCTCGACGCCTTATCTCGCCTGCAGGAGACGCCGTGAGAAGGGCTGCGGAAGATAATTTATAGGTTTTAATTACTCTTCATTCCGCCTGATCAGCTTGGCGTTCATCACAGGCCTGTGAATAAAACCCTGGTCAAAAGCTCTGTCACATAGCGCTGGCAAGACGTTTAATCAAAGTGAGCGGCCCCGCGCGCCGCGCGGCCCGGTCCTGTACGTAATTTCCAGCCAGCTGATAAAGCCAGCTGAATAATGCGGCGGCCCTTTGGAGACACCATTTACAGAAATGACTTTATTGACGGCTTAACGTCGGTAATTCATTTTACCTTTCATGTAGTAGAGCTCGGATTTGTTACAGTAATAGGATGATAAATGCACCCGCGGCCCACGAGCTCCGGCTGGATTAGGCGGTGCTCCTCTGCAGCGCACTGGCTTGTCCCCCCCCACTCCATCCCCCAGATCCAGCCCCGGACGGCTGCACCTTTAGACTTGTCGCCCGTGCTCCACGACCCCCCTCCCAGGCTCCACGCCCTCCTCTCCCTTCTAAAACCGAACATACTGTTGGGAACTATATGTGCCTGTGCTGACGTCCTTGGCATGAGGTGTGTGCAGGCTGAGTGAGCGAATATTGGCTGAGACACTTGTGTGAGGGGTGCACAGAACTCCAAGCCCATGACTGGCATGTGGTGAGGAGCTACAGCAGGGGCAGGGTGAGTGGTGAGTGTTCAAGTATCTGGGTAAAGGGCATTGGTGTCTGTGTGCAGGGGTGCATGCCAGTGTGACTGCATTGGAGTCTTCGTGTTTTTTCAAGATACCCTCCTCTGCTTTTGGTAGTTAAGGGGTCTTGCCACTGGATAGATGCCCAGGCCAGGAGGACAGACAGGTAAGACATCAGGAAGCAAGTGTGGGAACTGGCCCGGAATGGAATGCAGCTCCCCCTTTCTACAAAAGTCACCAGCTCCTGAATCCCAAATGTAGGAACTGGTGGAGATCAGCACGTACTTCCGTTGCTTTGCACTTTTAAGTGGCGTTGTTACCTGTGCAGGAGGACTATGGACTGGGCATTATTCCCTCAATAAAATGACCGTTCCCATTGCCATCTTTTCATATCCAGCCTAGGGGAATTTGAAGGAAAAAATACAACAAAGAAAAAGATTTTATTTAGTTCCAAAGGCCACAGGGTATGGGAGTGTACGACAGCTCTCCTACTGCAAAAGCAGTCTCTTGGGCTGGGATCCACTGTGCCCGGGATAAAGAGACCCCAAGCCCCCCAACCATCTCCAGTCCCTGAGCTTCCTCCGTTCCTTGAGGCTCAACTGTGAATTCCATGCAAAAGGCATCTGGTCAGAGGGAAGAGTGCTTATGTGCTGGAAGAAAGGGAGGGCTGTGGGAAGTTTGAGATCAGACAAAGAGAAAACATTGAGTTTTTTAAGGGTGAAAACTAAGAAAGTTAATTTTCTCTCCTTCAAATCTAGTAAACAACGACGAAACATTTAACTCCTTGTATTTGAGTCTGTTCACCTATGTAGGTGAGAGCTACTCACGGGGAAACCCAGTCTACAAAAGCATTCCTGCTATGTTGGTACATAATTGCGTGGGGGACAGGAGGCCCTCAAATGACTTGGGCCCAAGTCAGCCCCACTGATGCCTCCCGAGCTGAGCATTTGCTGTGAGACATTTCAGAAGGAGATACTGTCATTTGGGGGTTTCCCAAGAAGAGTTTTGGATTTTGTTAGGATAGAGACAACCTGAGGATCCCTTCCAGGTCCCACCTTAAAACAGTGCGTGTGTTTGGGGGGGGGGGTGGAAATATGAAAGCCAACCTCTTCGTTCAATAGGCCTGCAGTAGGTGGTGTTGCCTGCACACAGTGGTAATCCCATTTCCAGTGTAGATCAGATGGCGGTGGGGCCTCTTGGTGCGGGACATGAATGAGTTGTCCCAACACAATAGCGTGCAGCCTTCCTACGGGGACTGGGTGACCAGCGGTTTTGTTGGGAGTGAATGCGAGGAGATTTCTGCTACAAGTGCGGGTATTATCATGAGCCAGAAGGTCAGACTATACATTGCAGGTCCCCAAAGCCTATAGACCTTGGGAAATGCGAGGCCTCTAGCCGGGTGATTGTACCTGACAGTCCTTTCAATAGACTAATTCAATTAGTGTTCAGGGCTTCGGTCTTCATTTGGAGGGTATAACAATATGGGGGTGGGTGGGTGCTGGAGGGGGAATTCCTTGGGTATTGGTTAAGGATCTTCAGGAATTTTGTTAGAATCTGGGAATGGTACAGGGGTGGGGGAAAGTCAGGCGGTTGGGTATAGGCTTTGGTGCCAAACCTCACAAAACTACTTTGCTCAGTTGATCCTCGAATTGAGGGTGACAGTTTTTGTTTGTAAGTCTCGGAAAGTCCTGGGTGTGGGAAGGGCTTCAAGGTAATGATTTCTCTTTTCCCGGCTCTGGGTATAACCCACCCCCCATCTATGTTCCTAGAAATCCCAAGAAAAAGCTTGCCGGTAGGGGTTGTCACCTTGGAACACTCCAGTATTTGGATGTATTTCCTCCCTCCCCGGTACAATAGTTTTGCAGCGGTGGAGACCTTTTTATTCTGGAAACATTCTTTAACACACACACACACACACACACACACACACACACGCACGCACACACGCACTCACGCAGGCACGCTCACACACACACTCCATTCCCTTGGCTGTGAGAAATGGCGATGGGGGTTGTGATTTCCGTGCATTCATTCCAAAGGGCCTCCTGGGGCCCTGAGTTCTAAGAGCTGAACCAAATGCCCGTCCGGCTTTCTCGGTCCCCGGGAACAGTGAAGCCAGCCCGACGCTGCTAGCGGGTTTCCTTCAGAGTTTCAGGCTGTGCAACCAGCCGAGATGCAGAGCCCCTAGGTTCCCATTACTGAAAGCAGAGTCTTCATGCCCCCACTCTCTCCCAAATGGCTCTGAAGCTGAACCATACAGCCAGACCGGCCCTGGTACCAAGGATTTTAAACCCAGTAAAATCAAGAAGACCCCACACACTTCTCCAATATATATATTTTTTCTCTTTAATCAAATATCCCGTTTGTTGTCTTACACGGAACCCTACCCAAATCCTCGCACCCAAACACCAATTTGGATCCAACTCCTCTCCCTTTCTCCGGGAGAAAAAAATATTTCGTGCTAACCCCCC